ACAAACACTGTCACGCCAATCCGGCCTCGTCCTCAGACGTAACCGTACTTTTCAACTGTGGAGGCAGTGACCCATTCTCTTATCCTCCCATCACCCCATCCCTTCATCAACCCCCTCTTTCATCTCTCCCTCTTTCATCTCACTGCTGATTTCTGTCCAGCAAAGAGGGAAGAGAGACAGAGGGAGCGAGCTGGCAGAGGAGACGAGAAGAGAGGAGGCAAAACTAATGCAATGTGCGGCACCTCCAGCCAAACACAAAGGCTGTACATCGTTCACAGAATGCATTAACAACAGCGGGACAGAGATAAGAATGAGAAAGACAACATAATGTACTTGTTATGAAAAAGTAGTTTCACTTTAGATTGACATAAATGGGCCCAAAAAGCATAGTAGAGAGTAAAAGAGACTTATTCAATATTGATATAAAAGAAAATGTGCATTTAACATAAAGATTTTGCCTCAGTCTGCATGCACGATAACACCTAAACATGATAACTAAAAGTCTAGTCGGACTGGCGATCAACGTAAATTCTTTAAGTATATTTTGCAGCTAGAAGCCAAATGTGATATCCACAAACTATCAGCAACACTTTTAAATCTAACGAAATAAAGAAACAGGAGTATAAATAGATGTAATATGCCTGTTTAATGCGGTCATTAATCTTTATATTGCTAAAATTAAGGCGTAACTTTCATTCATTGTCCCTTGATGCCAAAAAGAAATCATTTAAGGTTTTTCCTTATTCAACTGTAGAAAATTATTTGTTTGCTGTATTGACTGAGAAAAGGAGTGTAGAGGACTAAATTAATTTAAAGAACAAGATAAATAAATATGTCATCAGCATAGCAACAGAAAACAATTACACTTTCATAAAGAAGGGGGCATTAACTATAAAGGTACACAATAATAAATCGTGCTCAAGGTACACAGCTTTTGTAAATTTAGATTTGTATAATAGTTTTTGTGTAGTTCTTTATTCCACGTATAGTAAAAAGTGATTGTTATACTACACCTCTCAACTAACTCATTTTATTTTTTGCTATTTTTATTATTCTGTTTCCAATTATGGAGGTCAGCTTAGATCCATGATGGGAAAAGGATCAGCACACCCCAGTGGAGATCGGTCACAGCTTCACCATTCGTCATTTTAATTTCATCAGAAAGAGTCACATCAGAGTCTGCTCTAATTTCAGGGTCAAAACTTGTGATTTCTTTGGCTCAGGTATCTTTTGGTCCCTGTCCAATGCAATGAGCTTTTACTAGCCCATCTTGTTTTACAGAGTCCAACTAATGAACTGGCTCTGTTTGATCCGCTGTTCAAAGTGTCTAGTTGCTCTCTTCTCTTTCTCAGAACAAACAGTCACAGCTGTGGTCCTCAGTATTACTGCGCTGTGGATACAGCGATCGACAATAGGGCCGAGGGAAACAACAGGGCTGTGTGTGTGTCAGAGACGGACACAGACAAAGAAAGAGAGAGGTTTTTGGGGATGTGCCCACCACATGGTGTCTCCAGATGTGTGAGTCTACCCTCATAGAGTCTGGGCCCTGGGGTGTTGGAGGAGGCTGTGGGTCTATGTAATGTGGGGTGGAGGGGTACGGACACAGGTGTGTGAATGATGAAGAGCACACATGGGTTTTTATAGGAACTCCAAGTCACTGCTCTCATTTTTGTGTCTGTATCTCACATGTTCATGTCATGTATGCTAAAGAGCAATCCTTTCTCCTACAAATTATGATCATATGCAGCTGATTTGCATCAGCAAATATGTTTTTCAGGAAACTTAACACTGCAGAGTTTATGTTATTTTAGCAACATAATTAGGGAGAATTAACACTGATTGCATCCAAAAACTGCAAAATGTTCACTGCTGTATCACATTTGTTTTTGACTAAGCTGGTGAACAGACTCCTGTAACAACTTTACTGTTAATATATGGATTCCTATGAATCTGGTGGTTCTGACAGGATACACCATAAAAACTTGATCTCTTGAATTCTTCCAACACCTCCAACAGGTCAAATTTTCTCCTGTGAAATATCTCAATATCTACTACAACATCTAACTGCAAACATGCGTGGTACGCAGTTATCCTCCATTCAGTGATACTGCTAGATGGAAAGTAAAGGTTTATTTTGTTTGACAGTAATTTTTGAATTAATCCCCTATAAACCTGCATATCTATTTTAACTTAGTTGATAATGATAACTACAGAGTCCAACATTTCTTTCCAAATCTGGTCCTTCATGCAAAATTATAAAACTTTTATTAGCCCTCTGAACTTCAAAGCAGGTCTGAAATGCATGTTATCTTTAAAAAAACGGTCATTTATTAGAGCCAGAAACTATCGAAACAGAAATATTATTGTTTTTTCGACTTTTGATTCTTGAAGGTCATGTGTGACAAGCAGTTCCCTCAGGGAAATGAACCAAATTTATGACATTTCCTCAAATTCACTTTATTCTACATGTCTCGTGTAAAAATTTGCTGAAATACGTAATTTAAACCAACCAGATCATGGTAAAAGAAAAAAAAAAATTAAAAATAACTTAATGAAATCGGCTCTCTTTTGCACAACTGAGATATCATTCGTGACTCAACAGTCACATGACAGAAATTCATGGACCATTTAGCTAATCTAAGCTGAACTGAAGGCAGTGTTCAAAATGTAAGTAGTAAAATGTCTATAGTGTGTAAAGGTAACTGCTTTTTCTCGTGTACATATTGATTCCAGGTCCTTTCAATAATTGTAATATAAATAATCAAAAAATTCAGCTTGTCAACCTAAATGAATTATAGTATTATAACCATTATACAGCACAGAAGACATGTTTGACTTGTCTCAACTTCTGGCCATTCCAGTGAGAAATGAGCCCACAGTGAGTTAAATGTTTTTTTTAAAAAAAGAACCACTTAGAAACTGCTTAAAGTTCAGAGGGTTAACATTGAAAATAAAAAAAGCCAAATCTTGCTTGAAACTAAAGCCTGGACATTTTAGCTTATGTTAACTCTGTAACTCTGTGTTTTTGTAGAATAAACCCAACAACACATGGCTCAACAACATTCTGCAGTGAGTCCTGTTGGTATGTCAAAACTGTGCCACACTTACAACTGCAGTTAGACATGATTCAGGCAGAAATCATCCTCAGACATATTTGGTTAAACAAGCTGGCAGTAGTTGTTCACAGACATGTGTCACACCTGACCTCAGAGCGGTTGAATTTAGCCCTGAAAGCCCTAAACCGCTCCACTGAGCAAAGGTTAAACACATACAGCAAATACTCACATACACACATATCCACAGATTTTCCAAGCCCTGAAAAACATAATTTTCATAATAGCAGGTTGAGCAAGTGTTCATTTATAGCCGCACTGTCGCAAGAACCAAAGCCGGTCAAGTTAGCACATACCTACTGGCCTCAATGTAAAACTTAACAAGGTTCCACTTCTTAGGTTCTCAGGGATTTCTTGTTGTGATTTCTAAAAATAAAAAACACACTGCAGGGGGTGTAACGGCAGACGTAAGATTTAATATTGACCAAAGAGCCCTAAATGCTATTGGCGCAGCCTCTGTGGTCGTCGTTCATGCGGAATGATTTCCATACGTCGGACAAATCTGCTCAGCTGCAGCAGCTTGGCAATTTTTCTTTCATTGTCATTTAGCAATTTTCTAAAGATTGTTTTTTTTTTTTTTTTCATTTTCTTTCTGTCTGTGTTCTCTTGTGGGTTTTCTATTGTAGTATACTTCAGCGAAAATAAACACAATTATAGTACGACATCGTTAATGCTGTTGTGCTGAATGATCTTGTTCAGTGAAGATGTGCTGCCAAACAGGGACCCTCTGCTAAACACATACACCTGGAGCACCGAGGCTTACGCAAACACTCACACCGAGGCAGCTTGTCTGCGAAGAGCTGAACGGAGAGCAATATATCTGAGTTGTATTTTTACCTCGGCCCACACGCTGAGCAAAATGCCAACTCCTGGCCTTGAGAAACACACACATACACACACACTTGCAGAAACACAGACGCACATGCAGACACACACCCTCAGACACGACAGGTCAAGCCCAGCCGACCGCCGTAGCGACCGCAGAACATAAACAACTTTCACACACTCTGTGAATCATCTGAGCATTTCAATATTGTTTTAGATAAATATATGCAGCCACACATATAAATATATGCAACCATAATTATTCCCCGAGACCACAAATGACCGTGACTGGAAGTTAGTTCCCACAGTTTCAGCAGCGTCGCAGCCCAACCCTACGGTACTGGAAATCTGTAGCTCGGTTTACAGTAGCGGGCTGAGAGCGAGGCCTTGGAAGGTGCTTGATTACAACAAACGGTAGTTCTTTGGTTCGAATGCAAATGTTTATGTTCTGTAACTAAAAGTGTTTTCTGCCCGTGAAACACAAAACGTAACTTCAGAAGAGAAACCTGTTTCCAGATTTTGCTGTTTATGCCTCCCTTGGTCTGTCATGCTCGCTTTCTCTTCTTCATCCTCTCTCTTTCACACACACACACACACACAGACACACATACACACAGACACACACACCTCACTCCCAGTGGGCAGCAGCTGTTGGAGTGCTAATCTCCATTAGCTACTGAACTGGCTTCCATGGAGAGAGCCATGTAAAAATCTGTTCTCTCACTCCTCTCACTCCTCCATCCAAGTGAAACGCCAAAGCTGTGTCACACCAAAAATACAGATAGATTCCTTTTTTCCCTCTACTTTACAGCGTCCGTAACACACTTCCCCTTGTCATTTTCAGTCACAACCAATGAAGTGTACAAGCTTGTGGTGATACCAACACGCCATTACATGCATCAACAGTTTCTGAGTGATCTTAAGCCTTCTTTGCAGCGCTCTCGTTAAACACAACCTATGAGTGATTGTACAATATTTCGGCTAACAAAGCAAGGAAATTGAGTGACAGATAGGAGAAGATGAACTTTAAAAAACAAAAACAAAGAAAAACACATGACTTACAGTCTGTAAAGCTTCGTTGTTCCCAGGAAAAGCAGCTCGGGAAAAACGGCCAGATTATTCCGATTCAGGCGCCTGTAAAAACAACATAAATTAGGGAATAAACTCTACCATCCAAACAGTGCGGGCGAAGGGGTTACATATGTGTATAATTTGCATTTTAAAGTGAGATTTGTGTTCCCTGATGATCATATCAGGTTATGTTATGTTGTTTTGATTGTAATACAATTTGAGTCCATTTCAAGGGAGTATGAAAGGAGAAGGAGATTGATGGAGACAGTTTGTCAAACACACAAACATGTTAGTGGATTGAGAGAAAGAAAACACAGGTTATCCATGATTTAAGGGGTACAACATGGCCGCCAGACAAACAGTGAACTGGAGAAAGACGGAGGGAATGCAAGGGGGGAAGAAGACGAGGGAAGGGGTTCGGATGAAGGGAGGAGGGGGAGAGAGTTTTTACCACAAAGACGGAGGAGAGGAGACGATGTGGGAAAAACAAACAGGCAGTCTGGCCGGGCTACCGAATGTGTGAAAAGGACCCCACTGAGTAAACAAGGCCCTCACAGGGGAAGAACTCACAACAACCCATCATCACACACACACACACACACACACACACACACACACACATATATATACACACAAACACAAACAGAGGAGTTGAGAGAACTCGGGTGAGTTTAATAATCTGGGTGCGATCATTTAACCCTGGTTGAGTGGAGTGAAGAGGTTTGTGTGCCGGTGTGTGTTGTGTGTGTGGTTGTGCCTTGATGTGAGTCAGAGGAGAGTGAGGCAACAGAGTGACACAATGAGAGACGGGCTGCTGAAACAGTTTAACCCCGACACACACACACACACACACACACACACACACACACACACTCTGGCAGGTCCAGCGACGGATGCTGTGCTGGCTGCTACTGGACAGAAATGAAGCAAAGTGAAAAAGAAAAGAAACACAGAAATGTGACTGACTTTAAACTAATAAGACATGTGCTTCTCCTTACTAACAACTCACAACTTGCGTGATTCTCACACACAAACCTGCATGTATCCTACAAATGCCACTTTCGCCACAACTTCATTCAGAACTTTTAAAACCTCTCTTTCATTCCCTCATTGACTTTTCCCTCCTCACCCTCGTCTTTCACCTCTTTTTTTTTTTTTTTTTTGCTTCACTAGAAGCCGCCGTGGACTTAAATAACGTCACCCCTTCTGTGTCCATCTTTCACCCACAAGTGCACAAATATATGAACGTGCCCGCGCCTACGCACGCACATTCACACTCCACAGTTACATCAGAGGCCTGCTTAAATATTTAACATCCCGCAGAAATGATGTTTCTAAATTATTCACTCCTCTTCCGTTAACGCTGGCTCTGGCAGCTAAGAGCCCCACATGGTCCCACGGAGAGGCCCAATCCCCCTGCAGGTCCTGCCCAGCCATGAGCACCCGTTAGTGGGCTAGACATCCCCCCGGGAGAGTGCACGGACCGGTGCTGGAGGTGGGGAGGAGGGACGACGCCGGAGAGGTGGTATGAGCTCATCCTCTTAAAATAGATGCAATGCTGTCAGACTTAGGCGGCTCAGAAAATAAAGCGAAGACACAGAGATCAAATCCAGTCTGCAGCACAGTGTCTCTGAGGTGCCAAAGCATTTAAATGCACTTAATTAATTTGATAATAGGAGCATCATTCTAATTATGACATAAACTATTGTATCTTGCTTGTTCGAGGTCCACATTAAAAGTAACACGACAGAGATGATTCATCAGTTTTACTAATTAGGCTTCTTGTGCACGGTGCATTTCTATTACTTCAATAAATTATCGCTGTTATTTCAGTTACATTTCTTGTGCATGCTACTTTTGTAACTTAATAAAAATGAACATTGCATGTCAAACTGCAAATTTTGCAGCTTGTGATGACAATCTCGGTGAAGCAGCCTCTTGGTTATTTTCATTATCGACGTATCGGTTGATTGTCCTCAAATTGCTACAAAGAGATTTAATTCATAGTTATATTTGCTGTTGCGCAGAAAGCAGCTGATCCTCTCTTTAGAGAATCTGCCGGATGTGCCAGAAATGTTCATTTATAAAAGTGCACTAAAAATAAAAAGGCTGGCATCACTGCTGTAAGTAGCTCAACTCATCCACCAAACATCTGTAGAGACACTTCTTCACTATCTATCAAACAGCTTGTGCAAACTTGTGTTACAGTGAAGGTCGTGTACCCATAAACCGTGGGAATGACATGATTCAACTGTTCTTTTAACCTGAGTTTACAGTAGGAATTAGAGGGAGGCTGAAATAATGAATAATTGTGCCGAATCAGCTTGTCCAAGTCAGATAGTTTGTTCACTTTTTTATCTGAGTTGCACTCACTCCTCATCATTTTTTGTCTAATTTTTCATTACTGACTCTGAGTGTCTTGTGCATTTATTTAGTTGCTACAACTGTTACATTCAGCTTGGCACTAAAGCACTACTTAAAAAGGTTAAAATCTCAGCAGCCAACTCTTTGCAATAGAGTTTGCGCGTTGTGACTGTTTCTTAAACTCCTGTGAGTTTCCAGTGGGACTGGTGAGGTTGGTTCGACTGCTGAAATGATTCAGTCGGTTCACTTAAAAAACTGAGTGTTAAAGATCTGCTTGTAAATGTTCATAACGTCTCTTTTGTACATCTAAAAGTACAGATGCCTTCTCAACCTTGAGTTTTCTGTTGCTGTTTTAGTGGTTTTATTTATTTCATGCTTATTTGTACAAGTGTACAGCACGAACTGGGGCCGCATGCCACAGATTTTATAGCCTGAGCTAATTTGCAATGCACATCCCTAGGTGGGCCTGCTTGTTTCTAGACCTGAAGGAATGCATCTTTATCTTTTTGTGTGTGTGCATGTGCATACTGTAAACAGCCTTGGAGTACTTTCACAGTCATGTCTCGTTACTCAAAGTCTGGCTGAAAGTGAATGAAGACTCGGAGGTGTGAGAGTCACTCCAACAAGCTAATGTCACACTGCAGCGAGGTGATAATCCCTGCAGTCATAAACAGATGCTAAGAGGCCACAAACCACACAGTAAACACACACACATTCTCGCAAAACGCGCACAGTGCGCCAAATCTTTGTGCATACACGCGTGAATACTCGCACAAATATAAAGTCAGAAACACACAGTCATAACACCCCAGACTGGTGTAGCTGTGCAGCACTACAGGCCTGCAGAGTCTGGCTGGGAAGAAAATAACAAACTACCTCAGAAACCAATTATTACTTCACCAATGCTGCTGCTGCCATAATACACATGTTCGACTAACAGTCTATCACACACACACCATAGTTAAAACACAAACCTTGTGGACATTTCCGTGACCCGAAGGCTCCAAAACCACTTCAAACTGACCAGTGTCTGTGCGTGTGTGTGTACATCTGGTTCAACAGTTCAGGTTTTTGGTTCATAGCGAGAGCATCTGAAGTGAGCCAAGACCAATCACCCGCCAAAGACTTACACTCTCTTATCCGACCTGTTATTTAAACACTAATGAAAGATACCGTCTCTGCCTTAAAACCTAGAACTGCAGGAATCCAGACCAATAAATTCCTTTGCTACAAGCCAAAAATCATTCACATCCAGCAGCAACGGAGAACGTTTCTCCTCAACTCATGAACCGGTGTTTACCAACAAATATAACAAATGTTGGCTGCAGCACAGAGCTGGGAAAAATCTATCCAGAATGACTTTTTAGACAGAACTGCTGTAGTGAAAATGGCTTTGTGTCTTCACAGTGCAGATAATTTCAAGCTCTGCTGCTCAGTAAAAATGAAAAAAAATAAACATTTCAAACTTTGCCCCGAAATGATCAGCGAACACAATGTTATCAGTCACAGGCTTTAGAGCTAATCATTTAGCACTAATCCAGGGCTTTTCTTTGAAATCCATATACCACTATCTGGGATCACAGTCACAATTATCTTTTGCTATTCAGATTGTCCACATATTACAACACGATCACTTGGTTTTGAGGCTTCATTATCCAGCTTGTAATCGCTGCTGATGGACGCATCTCACCACCTGTAATCAGTTTTACAATTATTCATTTCTGTTAAAGTGATCTTTGATAGTGTGATCACTCAATTACAGGCTAATTATCTGAGGCGGTATCTGACTGCTGGTCTCTGGAATCATTGTCTCAGTACCTGTAATTACAGTTTCATTCTCTCTGCATGTCTGTGGCTGTTATCTCTCTCAGTCTCACAGACTCTGAATTGGATGGGGGCTATAAAGCAGTCAAATGTGAGTGCCGGATAAGAGGATCAGGAACTCCTCTCTTCCCTGCACCCACAGGGTGAAAGTGAAGAATGTATGACATTCCTATATGCACAGGACAATAGAGAGAGAGAAGCAGATGGGCAAGTGAAGGAGGAAAAACATGAGAAGTTAAAGAATGAATGAAAGCGGGGGTTTGGTGGGAGACAAAATGAAGATAAAACCGGTCCTGACAGAGCAGCCTTGCGTAAGTGAATGCGCATGCATGAGTGTATCAATGCAAATGCATGTGTTTGTGTATGTGCACATGTGTTGTGACATGCCTATCTCCTCCACACCTCCTTCGACCACCTACCCCTCCTCTGTACCCCCCAGGCTACTGGCCCACACCTGACCCAGCCCTGCCCGGCCCTGCAGGGCTTGTCGCAAAAAAAGGATGAGACAGGGAACCGTTTTCTTCCACTGTGGGGGGCAGTCACTGTGGATCCGTCAGCCCAGCTTAGGGCCCGCTCCTCCGGGCAGTGGTGCCCAGCAGGCCCCCCTCCAGCCCTCAAGAGGACAGAGGCCTTTGAAATGAGCCCCCAGACTCCAGACTCCAGAGACGTGCCTTTGTCTGGCAGCTGTGGGGGGGCATTGATGACTGACTCCATCTTTGTGTTTGTGAACATGCCACGCTAGAAACGCTGCATTACAGTTGAACACTCTCGCGAGGACAACAGAGGACAGCCATGTTGTATCAGAGAGTGAGCTGCTGTCAAAGGTGTTTGTCACCATCGGACACAAGACAGAGCAAAGGAGACAACGACAGCGAGCAGAATTTGATTGTAGATATGTAAGATTTCATCTGTCATTGCTGTTTGCAGACTAATCAACACTTTATGTGTAAGTATCACTTTAAGTCTGTTTACACTGTAAAAAAGACAACGACGATCTATTCAGCAGAGGTGGTACTCTGAATTGTTTGAACATAAAAATCAAAATAGCTGTACTTAACTAGAAAATACACATCAGGCTAATAATGTGCACCTCACTATGTTTAAATATGTAATTGTGAATAAGCTGAATTTGCAATTTGTTGTTGGTACAACAAAGTTGGAAAAAAACCCACAGGGTTTCCCAGAATACACAGCAAGGACAAGTCCTCATGTTTCTCCCGGTTAGTTTATAACAGCTCAGCTCTGACATAGACAAGACCTGTGTCAGAGGAAGACCTTCAGCCAAACTTGTGAAAGTAAGTGTTTTGCTTGCAAATCACCGTGGTGTCATTATATTAACTAATAGCGAGTGACTTGATGATACACATTTGCTGCTTTGCCAAATGTTCAAATGTAATTTGAGTAAACTGGCTACTTGGTTACTTGGCTAGTAGCTAAATTAACAGTGCTCGTTAAACAAGCTAAGTTACCTGCCTGTTTCCTCAAGATTTGTGTCTCAGTCACGTTTTTTACTCGCGCATGTAACAGAGCAAAAACGCTTTTATTTAAATCTATGCCGCTGTCCGCGCCGACGTCGTCATGCGTGCGGTGTCTTTCGCAAGCCTTTATTTACACTTTTCGGCAATATGCATGTAAAACGCCAGGTTGAAGACGGGATCATGGTTAACTGCATGAAGTAAATTCACTCCGTGTCTCTCCCTCACCTTTTAACACTGCTCTGGTTTTACAGGAGTCTGATCCTGAAGATGACTCTACCAGGGGAGTGGCAGTGGGCATACTCTTAGTGATGGAGGACTGTGTTGCAACAACTTCATCTGCAGCGGTGCAGAACATTGCCATGATTGTGGAGGAAACCATTGTCCTGGAGGACGTCCCAGATCTTCCATTTGCGCTGAAATATCTTTGTTGATGTTGGTGCCTGTGCTTCATTTCATGTTTCAGCGATTTACTGGTCTTAATGAAACTATTAATTTCACTACCTCGTCTAACCTTGTACCTCTAATTTGTATCTGTACGCACAGTAGACTTTAAGTACAGACAAATAAAAGTATGGAGGAAATGCAACTGAGAACTCTGGATTTTTAAAAATACAATTATTGTTTATTCATTGACTGTAGTTAAAATGGTCATGGGGCTGATTAGCTTTTGGTAGTTCTGTGAATCACACTATTTAGTTAATGAACAAGTTAATATTGACTAAATGAAGCATTAATAGTCGAGACTATTCAAAGAACAATGTAAACGTAATTGGTACAACAATTAAATATTAGTTAGGACAATGAAGTAGCAAATCGTTGAGACAATTCAAAAATCTTACTGCAAAAGGTTGCCTTGAAATTTTAAGTTTTCTCAACTATTCTTTTTTTTTTTTACAGTGTAGCTCAAATGTATGTGTACGTGCTATTTAGCAACTTGCACCACCTCTCTGTAGTGAGTATAACTGCAATCAAAGTTTACAGTTAAATCCAGACCATGCACAGTTAAAGGTTGCCCTCTTTGTCTACAGCTCTGGGCAGGAATTCCCAGAACTGCTTAGCTGGACAGAGCCCAGCGTTGGTTGCATGAGAAACACTAGCAGATTCCCTATAGTGGTCCACAGAGTTTCTCTCTCTGTCAACAAAGAGCAGCTACAGTGCAGCAGAGAGCTGAGAAAAAAAAAAAGCAGGAATGACAGAGCCGAGACAGGAATCGTGACGTTTTATCCCTTTCATCCCAACTACTCCTGAAAAATTCACCCAAAACATCCATCAAAAAGATTAAGCACCTTCTTTTGATCTTGAACTACTGTATATGTGTACAGGTGAATACCTCCGTGTGTATTTGGTGATGTCTGTTTTTGTAAAAGTGTGTGTAAGCAGAGAGGATTTTTGTGTGTCTTTAATTAAAAGCTTGTCACCGAAGCCTCCTCACACTCGGTCGCAGTCTGCTGCATTCCAGCATGTCACCGACTGTTGGTCATTGCACATAATGCAAACACACACGCACAGACGAATATAGATGCTCAGTTTCCATTTTTTTTAGGTGCACCTGGCTGAAAGTCAAATACAAGAGTCCTGCATTAAATCCCGCCTTTATGAACATAATATTGTCGTTTAAGAGCGGTGGTGACACAGCTCGGGCTATTAAACTGCATTGCATTATGACATTATGATTTAAGCAGGCAATCAAATGAACAGAAACACCTGTCAGTACAATTCAACACAATTTAACAGCGTCGCAAACTGCAGTCTCTAAAATGAATGTGCGGTTGAATCAACAGCTCTCTAAATTAGTTCCAACAAAAACCGAGCATTATAGCCTTCATGTCGAGTTTCGCAGGACTGTTGTATGAGACTGCATTAGTTTTAGCTCAGCGCTCCTAATAACAGACAGCCATATCACCAGTCAGACGGTCAGGTCCCCCTTATTTTCCCTCACACACAGGCTAAAGACTTAATTATGCCTCGACAGCCTTAGGGGTGGATGCTGAATTCTGATTCCAGGTTGGCGCCGTAACAACCTCTGGCTGTTCCTCATTCGCTTCCCCCCGTGACTCCGTCTCAAAATTCTCCTCTTGGACGGAGAAGTTGGCAGGGGCCGAGTTGGGTTAAATGATTATGAAGAACGGTGACCGAGGAGAAGTTTGAGCAAACGAGCGTCGAAACACGAGAAATGCTTCCATACAAGGCACCAGGGGTCACTGAGTGGAATGACAGGTATGAAAATGATCGAACGCCTATAGGAAATTACGGCCAGACACGTCAAGCCCATAACAAATGTTGGACGGTTGTGTGAGAAATGTGGAGAAAACTTTTGTTTTCATTCCAAAACAGTACTCCCAGATTGCACTTTAGACATATCCACCTAAAGCTGATTTAAAATCTGGCAGCTGAAGTTGGAGTGTGTCAAAACTCTGGTAGCGTCAGAAATTTATTAATGCGTCTGTTGCTGCTGCAACAAAAATCTACAAACTAATCAATCAAAAAAAAAAAGGCAAGAAATGATGCAGAATACGCAAGTCGATGCAAGGCTGTATGCTCAATTTTGAATCCGATGACATATCTCTGCTGGTTTTTGTTTCTGACTTTCATCACCAAACACAGTCTTATGATTTATTGTGCATTCTGTAAGGTTGCTGTTATTGCAGTGTGTCAGGAACTTTAAAAAGCCCTCTGCTGTCATCAAAACAGCAGAAGAGGAAATATCTCTTGGAAGAACAATGTGAACCCAAAAAGTAAAGCTCTACAGAATCTCTAAAAAGAAATATCAGCGCAGCTTGTGGTGGACAAACACCTCACTAAAACAACATATGATGACATCTGTTTATCTGTGTGAAAGAACATGAGTCTACTTGATGGATTTTTGTGCATGCGAGGATAGTAAACCCCTAAAATGTGCACAATAACATGGCAACTGTGTGGACGACAACTTCACTCACAGTCTCTCCAGCTCCTTCAGGTCCTGGAAGGCTCCTCTCTCGATTGTGGTGATTTTGTTCTCCATTAACTGCCTGAGAGAGAGAAACACCAAGAGAGGGTGAGACTATGATAATTGGACAGAAGAAGAAAAAACAAAAAGAGAGAGAAAGAGAGAGAGAGGAGGGAGGAAAAAAGAGAGTGATAGAGAGACACATAGAGCGTGAGAGCTGACAGAGTGATTTGTGCGATGAAACCATGAGAGGCCAAAGAAAAGGACAAAGACGGCTGGATGGGGCCACAGATAACAGAGAGAGGAAGGGAAGAAGAGAGGCAAAGAGATTGACACGAGAGACAGGAGTGGGTGAGATGGAGGAGATAGGTGGCGGCGGTGGGTGTGAAGAAAAGAAAAACAGATTGGTGGAGATGGAAAGTGATAGAATTTTGAAACAGCAAGGCAGAGAGAGAGAGAGAGAGAGAGAGAGAGAGAGAGAGACAGAGAGAGAAGACAATCAGCAGCAGGTCGATAGAGCCCCAGAATTGACTTTAAAACTGGCCCATCAGTTGGACAGCGACTCATCTATCATCCAATTTACTCTCTATCTAACCACATAGCTGTGACTACTCATTCACTTACACTAGCGCAACTCCACTGAGCTCCCTCAGCAACGACACGTTTTTATAGGCTCACGATGAACACAAATTAACCTCTGATTGTATTACACATGGAAAAATGGTGAAATCCACTTCTCATAAATGGCCTAAGTTTTTAAAAATGCTTCCTACGACATTTAAAAATGCCCAAATAGAGGGAAAAAATTCCAAATTCATTATAAGGAGGTGTTTGTTGCAGGTCTAATTGAAATATAAAGGCCTGAGGATGTGTTAGTGCAACCTGGTGAACACACAGGAAACAGCTAAAGTGCAAACTGGAGCACACACACACACACACACACACAATTAAGGATATAATCTCTGGAGGAATTCCAACAATGTGTATTCCCTGCCATTCACTTTTAGCCACTGAATAGCACCACACACACACACACACACACACACACACACACACAACAGGAACAGGCCATCTCTGCATGTCCCACCAGTGGTGTTTGCAGGGTGGGGGGGGAATCTCTGAGCGCAGATCCATCCCAGGTAAGAAAACCTGTTCCTACTTGACGCTCTCCTTCCCTTTCCTCTCCTTTCCTTCCCTCCCTTCCAGCAGCCGCATTCCTCCCTCCGTGGTTACACCTAATGACCGCTATCTCTTTCCCTTCTCTGCCCTCCATCACTTCCTCGCCAGCACGTTAATCACTCCAGCACATGGGGGCCCCGGGGCCCGGTGGTTAAAATAAGCCCCCTCCTGACACTTCCACTGGCAGATTAACACGACAGCATTAACAGGTGCCACTGCTGCTCTGTTAGGACGTACATTCTGGCTGGGTTGAAACCTTCCCAACCCCTGGATGCAGAGCTGGCAGCTCCGGAGTCAAGACAGGAGGGGAAACAGTTAAATGTCTGTGTGTGTTGTGGAGAAGTTGTTGTGGGTTTTTTTTTCTGAAAATATAAGGTGGTGCTTGTCAGAGCTGTATGTGAGAATATTACTGTTTTCTTATCTGCAGAAAGAGAAAAGAGGAGGAGAAATTGAAATAAAAAAGCCACTTACAACACTCGCAGATGCCTCAGTCCTGCAAAATCCGCCTTGGTGATTTTGGTGAGGTTGTTTGCGTTCAGATCCCTGAACAGAGACATGATTAAAGAGGGGGGTTTTGTCAGTGCATTTGAGATGATGCTTTAATAAAACAAGATTTGTGTGCAGGTCAAGTGAGAGGTGATTTATTTGTTTTAACTTGGTGTGCCATAGCCAACGCACGACTGTCACCCGAGCTTCAGAGGAGCTGCTGCGCAATACTGGCCAAATGTTCATTTTCGTGAAGGGGCCTTTTTTTTTTTTTTGCCTGATAAAATACGACCTGTTTAAACTCAAAGCCCACTTGTCAAAATCCGTTTTTGATTAACTTGCTGGTCTGCAGACAAACCGATGTGGTCTACGGAGGCTGCGCTGGTGCAACAGTGCGAAACCACCAACACAACCACAGACAGCCAGCAGCCCCCGAACTTCAGCTCCGCGATCAACATCTGACTGAGTGTTCGCGTTAAACACGAGCAACAAGAAGTGCGATGTTTCTTCTAATTTACATAAAATACACATCAGTGACGTTTAGAGCTTAAAGTACAGTTAGTTGGACGCGTTAGTTGCAAAGTAAAGCTCTGCGTAATTAAGATGTGGTCCCCAAGGAAGGAAAAAAAAATCCTCCTAATATGCTCTTCAGGGTGCCGTTTAAAAGGCGCTGCACATGTAGAAGAAAATAATGGCATTGTTTAAGATTGTTTCTGGTAGAATTTCCTGGTAGTGTAATTCAGGATGTTCTACAAGGAGATATGATGAATACAGCAACTCTTAAAACTCTTCAGAAAAACCACAGCATTATTTAAAATCCACTTAATAAGATGAGCTCAATGCGCACGTGTCACTAAGCATCACTGACAGATAAATACATCATGTTCCACTGATTTTTTTTTCCTTCTTCTCCCTGTGAAATTGTTGCTTAATGTTATGCGTAGGTAAAGCGCAGCCCCCGGCGCCTACTCACAGCCTCTCCGTGTTGCGGGGTATGTTCCTGGGCACGCTGCGGAGCCCTTGGCCGTGACAGTCCACTGTAGTCCCGGTGCAGGAGCACTGGGCCGGGCAGGGCTGACCGTCCGCTCCGCTGGACAGGACCAAGAGGAAGAGAGCGGCCACCGGCAGCAGCCCCCGCACTGTCGCCGGGGAGCGGCCAGGGCCAACGGGGCACGGAGCTCCCACCATCACTGCGGCAAGTGTGGGGCCAATGTGAGACCCACAAAATGCTGAGGAAAATACAAGGGCGATCAAAAAATAAAAGCCCCGAAATCCCCCGAAGGACCTCACCAAACTCACGCAACGGGATGCCGTCCTCCTTTTTTTTCCACTGTCCTCCCTTTGCAGACGTGTGTTTCTGAAGATCTCTCGCTCTGGATTTACATTTGGGGTCCTGTTGGAAGGGTTTTTTCAGTGTGTGAAGGCTGTGCACCGGGAGTTTGGTCCCCCTGGGTAGGAAGAGGGGAGGTCGACGAGGCGGTAGACCGGCTCTGTGGCTGCGCTACAGCGGCGCAAACTTCCACATGTCCCCGGCATGCGGTGCCCAAATCCCCCCGGTGTGCGTCGCGTCTGTGAATGAGAGTGCGCGGAGCCAAAGCCGGTGAAACACCTCGATCCTTGATCTGATCCAAAGAAACACACACACTCTTTCTCATACACACTTAGTGCATACACACACACACACTCTCTCTCTCTCCCTCTTTCTCTCGCTCTCTCCAGGTAAGGCTGGTTATTAATTCACTACACGCGTCCGGCGAGGAAACAGCGGCAGCGCTTGGTTCTCCCAAAAAGCTCAACAGAGGTCACCGCGGCGGAGAGATATTGATTCCGATAATGTATTAATTGCCGGTCAGTGGCAAGAGTGCAGCTAATGCGAGGGACACATACAAAAAAAAACCCAGTGAAAGATCAGCGCGCAATACTATAATCCAACTCTGCGTGGTGCGTCAAAGCGCTGCTCCCGGGAGTGTGTGATAGAGGGAGAGAGAGAGGGGGGAGAGAGAGAGAGAGAGAGAGAGAGAGGGAGAGAGACGGGAGCGGGCACGTCTGCTACTGCGTCTGTCTGGGCAACTCTCTCTCTCTCTTTCACACACACACACACACACACACACACACGCACACACACGCACGCACTGCGTTTTCCCTGAAGGTAGCAGCAGGTTTCCAACCGGCCGTCAGTCAAACAGCAACAGTTTGACCTCAGAAGGGGACTGTGATTCTCACTGCAGTGTCCCGGTCACCTGATGCCTTATTTAGCCGGCCTCAGGAAAGCGACAGAGCCTCTTAATGTCAAAAAAAGTGCACAAACCCAGGAAGATCCTCGAAATTCTTTATGGCTGGACAAAGAATAAAGATAGTTGTTGATTTTTTTTTTCCTTTGGGGGGGTGGTCGGAGCATCCAGTGCTTTTAAAGGGACACCTGTCCCATCATGTTGTGACTGAGCCTTGTAGCTACAACCTCCATAACTGCAGTAGATGTGAAATGTCTTTAATTATTACAAATAGCTTCCAGATTCAATTAACAAACACTACAGGTGCTATGAGCTTCATAAATTAAGAAGTATGAGAATTAAGAGATCCTGGACGTCTACACCTCTTCTATCCATTTTTTTAAAAAAAACTCTCTTGTCTGAATGAAGCCCAACTAATTCTAAATGCAACAACAACAAAAACAAAATGTTGGAATCAACTGACTGGAAGGCACCAACATTCAATGAATTATATTTACATATGCAAATATGCCCAGAACTAATCAGCTAATGTAATACATGGAATAAAGTTAGTGGAAGAATTCCCATAAACATGTCAGTCAAGACATGTGATGATTATATTTTCTTTAAATTATTTATAATTTATTCGGAAAGGTTTAACAAGCATTTACTACGCAAACTCTGCGTCACTATTTACCACAACTCTGGCTTAAACAAAGACAAATCTGTGCACACTGACATACACGCCTCTGCAGAGCAAACATATTTTCTGTTCTTGTGTTGTCCTTAGTTGTTGTTTTTTGCCATTGTTGTTTCGGTTGCTGTTTGTAGTGGTTGTTTGTCTATGTTTTATTGTTGGTCTCTATGCCTGTATTAAAGTGTTAATCTTCAAAAGCCTAACCGGAGTAAGGTCCAAAAAGTAGCTAGAGGTCCCATTTAAATTGCATCCGTTTCATTTTAATTAAAAGCAGCAATGTCTATATGCATGTTTCTGTCAAATACAGTTCAAAAAATTAAACAAAAAGTTTGCTATCACTGTATTGTACTACAGTCATAGTTTCTAGCCAACAATAGGTCAGTTGTGTGAACTTGTGATTTCGTATTTTGGGCAAGAAAAATAAAGTTGGCTTACAGCAACACGGTTGTTAACACTGTCTGCATCTTAAAATGGATAATTAGCTATGCAATTTAAAAAGGATTGAGGCACAGAGCACCACTCACGAAGCTGCCAGTCAGTGGTTGACAATAAGGGCACACATTCAAGACAAAATATCTATGAACAATATTGGCTATATAGTACTGTACAGTGACCTGCGGTCAGGGGAGGCAGGGGAGGCAGAGCCTAACCTGACATTAGGGAAAGAAAAAAAATATGATGATAAAATCATTAAAATGGTTATATTTATCCAGTGATTTGTACTATAAAATTTTTTTTTTTTCATTTAGCCTCGTCAGTTTTGACGATTTTTAAAGTCAAAATCGCTAAATTTTCGCAATTTCCCATTTAAATGCCTGGAAGAGAAGCAGCGGGGAGCTGAGCCTCACTTGGATTGCGCAATCCCTCACTGCGCAGGCTGCCATGCAGTGACCTGTGGTGAGGTTCATGGCTGGTGAGGCACTGACTTCATCAGCATCTCATTTACAAACACATGCACTCTACACAGTAGCATATTTGCCATTTAATTGGTAGCAGTGCGGTCTTACCTTTACCTTTAAATGAAGTCCATGCTCCGCTCCTTCTGGACAAAATATCCGTTGCTTTTTTTTTTGTAAAAGTCTCCTTATCTTCCTTCGCTGCACTTGACTTGCAAACTGTATATCGTACCTGCTAGTCTAGCTTGCTGTCACTTACTCTGCAGCCGCGGAGTCACAAGAAGCATGTCTGGGATCAGAGCGCCCCCTGCCATGAGGCAAGAGAACTGCCTGCCTCACCTAGAACCTCTTCTCAGCCGGTTATGATCGCTCAGCACACGGAACACGTTACACACATACAGTTGGCAACAAAAGCACTGTACCTTATTATATACATCAGGTGAACTATGGAAAAGCGCAGTGAGGGATTGCGCAATCCAAGTGAGGCAGCAGGAGCTCAGCCTCACTTGGATTGCGCAATCCCTCTACCTAGGCTGGCTGCCTGCAGTGACATGTTTCAAACACATTTAATAAACGAACTGATTTTCCATAGTTCAGCTCATGTATATAATAATGTACAGTGTTTTGTTGCCAACTGTATGTGTGTAAGGTGTTACCTGTGCTGAGCGATCATAACCGGCTGAGAAGAGGTTCAAGGTGAGGCAGACAGTTCTCTTGCCTCATGGCAGGGGGCGCTCTGATCCCAGACATGCTTCTTGTGACTCCGCGGCTGCAGACTAAGTGACAGCAAGCTAGACTAGCAGGTATGATATACAGTTTGCAAGTCAAGTGCAGCGAAGGAAGATAAGGAGACTTAAAAAAAAAAAAAAAAAAGCAACGGATATTTTGTCCAGAAGGAGCGGAGCATGGACTTCATTTAAAGGTAAAGGTAAGACCGCAATAACTAAAAAGAAACGTGGGTTTTGTGGGCTACAGCTTGTATGTGTAAAGAATGCAGATATGAAACATAACCCGTAAACTGCTGCCAATTAAATGATAAATATGCTACTCTGTAAAGTACATATATGTGAAAATGAGATTCTGATGAAGTCAGTGCCTCACCAGCCATGAACCTCACTGCACGTCACTGGTACTGTATATGGTAAACGGAAATTCTTTGCCATAGTAACTATAACTGTAATTATAGAATATTTCTTTTAACAGGTATCATTCATGTAAGTGTGTACAATGAAATCACTGGGCTGCTATTTTATGCCTGAAAACTTTGAAACTGTCCTTCAGGCCTTTGGTTTTGGAGTAAAGAGGAGGCTCCTCCTGATGTTAGATGTGAATCTACAAGTTAAAATGGTTCTTACATCTATATCACAGTGTGTATTGCAGACCTGTTTTGCTCACATTTGCACTAAATGTCGTTTTAAATTGTGTTTTGTGAATATAGCCACTCAACCTAATGGGGAAACCTCACTACTAAACGTTCCTTATTGAGTCTCACTGTTGGATTAACAGGTAAACTTTACAGAAATATAACAGTGATTGTTAAAGGAGATGACAAATCTGTCTTTGAAGCTCGTCCTCCCCTCTTTGTCGGCCTGTCTTCTCTCAAACCTTTTCTTTCTGGCTTTCGAGGCAGAATACAAACAGCTGTGTGTGATCGTAATTCTGATGTGTGTTCACACAAACACACTCCCACGGAAATAATCTACTCGGAGACAGAGGACATATATCCTACTAGAAAATTCATTTTACATGAAGAGGGATAAATAAAAATAAAAAAAAGAGAAAAGAATCATGTTGTGTCCTAACAAAGGAGTTGAGGAGATGTGAAGGAGGCAGAAAGAGAAGAGAGTCATTGCTGTTGTTGTATCATAGCTGAAGTGAAGGAAGAACAGTAATAACAGGGGGAGGTGATGAAGTTTGACCCCTGCCTACAAGGCTTCAGGGCTCATGGCGTGTTTAGACACAGCTTTACCTGACCTGCCTGCTCCTTACGCACCAGTATGTTTCCATCACTTCAAAAGACATTACATTGACTTTCATTAACCTCCTGGAGACTGACCCAAACCTTAACGTCAACCTTCTAACCTTAAACCCAGTCTTCTATCTAAAATGTATTAACTGATGTTACAGGACTTGTTTTTTGTCCTCCAGTGTGACTGTATGAACAGATTCATGCAATAAGAGTAATAAGAGTACACACGCACCACAAGTGATTGCCTGAGATTACTACTAAAGCCCTGGTCAAGCCACAGATTTCTGAATCGTTCCTGATAAGGATGGTAGCGATGCAGGAACCGGCTCTCTGGCAGCAGCTGTTCTCACATCTGTCATTAGGTCTTATAAGTGCTGTTGCTCTATGGATCACGATATCACTCTGGTCTAGACGGAAGTATGTCAATAAATGTCGGACATTCACGGTCCTCAGGGTGGCGCCTGCTGATTTTCACTTCTCCTGTAGTACCCTTATGATGCTGACATGAAATATCTGGGCAACTATTGGATGCATTGTTGTGAGGTTCGGTAGAAGTATTCATGGTGGTGGTGGCACGGTAGTCAAAGTTTATGTTAATCCCATAAAATGTATCATCACTACAAGATGGGCTGGAAAACTTGCGTACAGATGTTCATGGTTCCCAGATGATGCGTCCTACTGACTTAGGCTACCATCTGGCTTTACATCCATTTGTATCATCAGGTCAAAATCTAAACCACTGGATGTAAAGCCAGATGGTAACCTAAGTCAGTAGGACGCATCATCTGGGAACCATGAACATCTGTACGAAAGTTTTCCAGCCCATCTTATAAATGTTGATAATATTTTATGGAATAAACATAAACTTGGAATGCGTTGTTGTGATGTTTGGTTGAAATGTTTACGGTGGTAGTGGCACAATGGTCAAAGTTTATGTTTATCCCATAAAATATATCAACATCTACAAGACTGGCTGGAAAACTTTTGTACAGAAGTTCATGGTTCCAAGATGATGCGTCCTACTGACTTAGGTGACCGTCTGGCTTTACATCCAGTTGTATCATCAGGTCAAAATCTAAACCAGCAAACAACTCAGTAATAATTAGAAATTGTAAGCATGCTAAAACGCATAACACCAGAAGGATACTGAACATAGAAAACTATTCACCTGCTGGATATCAGCATGGTGGTGTTCATGGTGTCTTTATGAGCACATTACCCTGCAGGCTAACACAGCTGTAGACTCTTGGTCTTCTTTCTTATTTGTTCTGTGTCAATGAATGCCAATGAACAAATACTGTAAATGTTTCAGTCTTTTTGAGCTCATTGTTCAAATTCTGCAGTGCACAAATACCAATAACCTAGGAGTGACAGAATCAGTTTAATGCACAATTGATCTTCAAGCCTCATTACAGCATCATGCCAAGAGTCCACCATAAAGTTTAGGATTTCTACATGTTATGGAGTCATGAGTAGGGTGGAGTATTTGTTTTTTTTTTTTTTTTCTTCTAAAAAATGTGCCCTGATTGTCAAATTGGTGAAGATGTTTTCTTGATTTGCTTGCATTTTGTCCATTTGCATGTGTTTTCTGAAGTTGCAGTAATTTGCCCTCTCAGGGCCATCGCATATTTGGCTACTTTTACAATCTAATTGTAAAATATGGCAACATAACAGACTACAATAACAGATATTAACCTACACTGTTTCCTATTTGGAAGGTGTGAAGCTGTAAAAACAAGTATCTGGTAACTGATGACAACGAGGCTGAAATCTTGACATGTTTCCAACACAGTCCTGTTTCTGTAGGTGATAAATGTGATTGTTATTCTTATGATGTGTAACCTACCACAAACAAAGATCTATTATTTTGTGAAGACAGAAAGGTGGATGACATTGGTCCTGTCATTGGCAGCAGGTGCAACTTGACAAACTTGATTTACATTTAAACTTACAAGAAGCAGTTGGAGATTATCAACCGCAGTGTTCTATTTTTAGTGTTTTACAACACTCCCCCGTACAGAGATGTAAATATATGTAAATATTACCCATTAAAGTACTAAGATATAAATAAGGACATGTAGCCACTGTAGACTACCCAAGACTCCAACTAACTGCATTGGTTGGGTCTTGTTCTTCATTTGTGTTAAAGTTCAGAAAACAAATGATCATAATTAAAGATCACGTGGATCTCTGGTGGACCAGTGAGCAGGTGAGCTGAGGTACATCAAATTCCTTTTTATGTTAGACAGAGAAGTCTTTGTTAATTGTACTAATAATGAATGAAGGGAGGTTTCATTTTGCTTGTGTCATACCACAAAAATGTCCCGTCCCACGCTGGATTACAGAACAAATCCACATATAGATAAAGACTTCCATCAAGTGACGTTCACATGAAACACAAAGAACTGCCGCACACAACAAACTACTGCGTAAGTTTCTAAAAAAGAAAGAAAAAAAGAAAAAAAGAACTGGAGCTATGCAGTAATTATGGAGTCAAATCTTAAGCCTCATTCTGAAAATTCCAGCTCAAGCATTTTGGCCGGTGTCGGAAGGTTTTGCAGAGCTGCTAATGAGAAGTGAATCTGTCTGTCGGCTGTGATGTTGGTACTGCTCAATCTAGCCTGTTGATTTAGGAGCTGTTTGTGTTATCTTTGGTTTATGGCCATGCAGTAAAGCTGAAGGTGTGGGGGCAGCTTGTGTGTGTGTGTGTGTGTGTGTGTGTGTGTGCGTGCGCGCGTGCGCAGAGGTCAGTTCAGCCACCTGGCCTCTGGACAGCTGCTACTGAGACACATGCTGCAAAGACCGAGTCCTACTGTACACACACGCACACACACACACACACACACACACACACACACACACACACACTTGCATCTTGCTAATATTCATTTATGCACAGCCACAAGTTCACACAATGCGGCAGACAGACACGCAGAGAGACAGAGAGAATTTCAAACAGTTTATTACATCTTTGTATTAATTAACCGCATTAATCAAATCTGTTGTGTGTTTCTCCTCACTCAGACCCATGTTGTTTGTTTGTGTGTGTGTGTGTGTGTGTGTGTGTTAGTGTGTGTGTGTGTGTGTGTGTGTGTGTGTGTTGCCTGATAATCACATCATTAAAAACCAATGATGTTTGTGTTTGGACTGGCACTGTCAACACGGCGGCTGGTTGCACAGCTGCAACGAGACACACACACACTCGCACAGGCAGAGGGATGAACACACACGGCACCACACCAAAACACACAAACAGCAACATTAAAAAAACAAAAAAGCTCCTCCTCCTGCCTCGGATTCCTTTTCCTCTTCCAGCTGCCGGTTTCGTGCCGGTGCGATTCGTCCGCAGAGTACATTGAAACTTGCATGGAGGCCCTGAGGTGTGCGAGTGGCTGGTTACCTTTGTTGTGATGGGACTGAGAGGCTGTTGTCTGTCTTACACACCCAGCCACTGCAGCCCGGGGAGATGCTGAGGAGGTGAATAGGATCTTGACTGGTATGTTGGAAATTCTCCACTCGTCTGCCTCTGGAGAAAGGCGTGTCTGGTTTCACATGTCAGTTGTGTGCGTGTGCTGTTGTTTGTGAGAGCGGAAAATCGCTCTTCGTCACGTTTTGACTGAAAGACAAATAGAGTGCAACTTAGGGGCTCATTAAAAACGTGCACATATACGCACCTATGGCATATATGCAGCGTGACGGCAATGAATGAAGAATAATTTTGGATCAATAACATGTTAATTGGTGAATTATTTATAGGTGATGTCAGAGGAACCGCTTAAAACCTACTTAATATGATGTGTCACTTTCCTCAGGGGTGCACAAAACGAGCAATTATTAATGAAGTGATGACTAACAAATGAGTGGTTACTAGTTTGTGCAGGTTGATTCAGAATTAATCAGACACTGCTTAATGGAGAATGTAATCATTCACCTTTTCTCGCCAATACGTAGATAGATGTCGATTCATTTGAGAACCTCTCATACGGTTTGGTATTTATCGAGTCACTCCTTATTTGTTGCTCACTCTTTCCTCAATAGTTGCCAACAGCTTTATGTACCGCATTGTAAAGTGTCACCTTATTATTCTGTCGTTTAAGGGTTTTTTTGAAAAGGGATTCTGGTGCATTATTATTACAACGCAGTAATTTTGCCTTCTAGACTTTTGTCTAAAGGTGGGCTACATGATGTTGTCCAAACATGTCAGAAGGCCCAGAGTTTAGGCTGGAACTTCTTTTGAAAGGCGACAATTGAAAAGGTGGAGCAGAAAGCAATAGGGTGTGGCAAGATTCATTGAAATGTTTAAATATGGACAATAGCGCGTGCTTTTGGACAGTCTGTCTTTAAAGGCATTTATGTTGCTGCTCTGCTTAGATCTGCACCTACACACACCTGGACAGGAAGTGAGCATAAATACCAGATTGTTAGACTTGAAGAGTTGCAAATATTGTTGGGTGCTGTTCCGTATGGGACAAGGATGCCCTCTGAGGTATGGTAAATGGCAAATGGTATATGGTCTGCATTTATAAAGTGCCTTTCTACCTTAGTGGTGCTCAAAGCGCTTTACAATGTTTTCTCATTCACACACCCATTCATACACCAATGGTGACAGAGCTGCCATGCAAGGTGCTGCCTGCTATTGGGTGCAACTTCAGGTTCAATGTCTTGCCAAAGAACACTTCGACTGTGGAGGGGCGGGACATCGAACCACCAACCTTGTAATTACAGGACAACCGCTCTACCACCTGAGCCACAGCCGCCAAGGAATCTACCAGACATTCCCTTTGCTTTTACACGCATGAGGCAGAATTAAGGTTTCAGTGTCTGTGAAGCTCAGAGTCGAACTCTCAATCCGGCAACAATGGGCAGCTAACCTGTTCAACCAGCAGAGCTACATTTATACCGCAAACCCACTTTTGTTGTCACTTTCTATAACTACAAGATGTTTATGCAGTATTTGACACAAAATAACCTTTTTTTTCCCCTAAAGCTTTGCAAGTTGACTAATAAACACAAAGAAGGAACTGTCTTTATTTTTAAAAAATGTATTAGGGGCCATCTGGTAGTGCTCTTATTCCAGATTTTTTTTTCTCTGCCCTGACTGTATCTTGCTTTAAAATAGAGGCATGTTTGTATTTTTCTGTGGAAATTGCCAAGGAAACAATGGGATTAAACTGTCTACCTGTGTCTCTATGCTGAAGCAAGTTAGTTAGTGTTGGTCTGATTTTGTGTATTTAGCAACGACAGAGGAGGGCACCCAACCAGACATGATAGTCTTGCATATTTCCATCATGTGGTGCAACAATAGAGTCTCAGCCATTCTAATCCTTTTACACAATTATCCCTCAGTGTTTGTGTGTTTAAGCACAGCTACTCTGACTGTGGCTTTTCCATGGACCTGAACCAAAACAACTCAACTGCCATTATCCGAAAATAGGCCGTAAGTACAAGATAAACATGTGTGTGAAACTAATTGTGCGTTGTGCAGAGCTGGCTTGTTGAGGAGCATTGTTGTGACAACAGATTAAACATCTGTCTGAACCTACTGCTGAACCCAAATTGAGATTAGAAGGGAAATAGAATATATCCCTTGTCTCGCCAAATTGGGGAAGATGTAGTCGAGGTAACAGAGAGCGTGTAGAAACAGACAGAACAGATTGCGGATGAAGAACAGTAAAGATTCCTTCTCTTGTCTCTTTTCTTTTTTTTTCTTCAACAAGTTAAAACAGAAAAAAGGCCAATGAAGATTAATACTCCTCATTTGTTTTCACTCCTTTTCTTGGTTGTTTTTCCAGCATGCTGAATCAGACAAAAGCCACATGGAGTTAATAACAAGTGCACATAAAACACAACTCTCTGACACACTCTCATATTCACACGCACACTTTACACAACAGTGTCCATGCTGGAGATATATCATCTGTTTATCATACTGTGCATAATCTCGGAATTTGTCAGCGGATTTGCTCATGCTTAAAGTGTTTTTTTGGTGTTTTTTTTTTTCAATTTTCAGCTGTCAGAGAACAGAATGAACTAACAAGTGAGTGAATGAGTTATAGCAGGTTGTAAGCCATGCTATAGAAAAGGCTCTTAAGTACTGACACAGTGTATGATTCCCCCGACAAGGGCAGAAATCCTGTTGCAGATGGGGCTTTATGGAAGGGGGCTGTTTTCTGTCAGATGTGAGAATACGCCATGCGTGGAGTCCTGCGTGATGTGGCTGTGAGGTAAAAGCAGCAAAAGTAAATCATTCGAGGCTTGAAGCAACCTTTGAAGTGCAGCACGGATGTGGCATGGATGCGGCGTTTTGCGGCATCTTGTGGATACATTTCATTGCTACGGTGTGCAGAAACCAAGGTCAGTTTCTGAGGTGAGAGTTGATCGTTCGGCACCGAGGGGAAGCCGAAAAACAGAGAAAACGTATAGAGGCAGGGTGGGGGTAAGAAATACTGATGTTTGGAAGGGAGAAAAAAAAGGTGGGGGGGGACAAAAACGGGACAGAAGAAAGGGAAAGAAAAATATGAAGGTTCCTTTTGGAGGGAAAAAGAAAGAGGAGGCAGGAGAATGAGAGGGAGGTGTGTAGAAAGAGGAGTGTGGGAAAAATCAATATGCTCTCTGGAGCGACTGGAAGAGACAATCAGTCCTGTCTGACCCTCGTCTCCCCTTGGTGTCAGTGTGTGTGTGTGTGTGAGTGTGTGTGTTGTCATGGCACTTGTGTGTGTGTTTTCGTGCACATATCTAATGCCTGCATGTGTTAGTAAGCAACATGCTCGTACATTGATTTTGAGTTTGAGCAGATTCGGGCGCCGATATGTGCTGCTGGGCCCGTGTGCTCTCACAGACGTGTGTGTCTTGTGTTTGTCTGCTGTCGTGTTTGCTGTCCTCAGCTCAAATATGTTTTATTAGCGTGACTGCTGAGGGCAGGAGAATGACGGTGCCAGGAGAACTAATGGGATAAAAGTTCATTACTTTGCCTCTATCAACTTTATGAGAGGACAGATCGAACAAAGACTCAGAGCGAAGTTGAAATAGGATGAGGCTGTCACGTCTGTAAATGGACACTCCTGCCGGCTTTAACTGGCACCATATGAGTTGATTTTTGCTTACGGTCGATCGCAGTCACTTTTCCTCTTCGACTCCATCTACGTTACTGTCATCTACAGGGTCACATTCACACACAAGCCAAAGGCTATGGGCCACATTTTCTCAGATTGTCCTGAGCTACTTTTTGTGAAATGGCCTTGCTTTGATAGCCATTATTATCGATATAAAGAAGAAAGAGCTCTTTTGCTCTCTGTCCTTCCATCCATGTATATGTATGTATGTGTGTGTGTGTGTGTGTGTGTGTGTGTGTGTGTGAATGGTTCAAAAATTTCTGCAAGCCTCGAGGCTAGCGGCTTTCACAGGCCGTCCACTCGACGTTTGGGGTTTGTAAAGCTGGCTCAACCCGCCATTGTCCGAGTCTCTCTCCTGAATTCAGTTTCTCCATCTGCCCCCGGGTGCCTCTCAGACTGACAGGGGGCGCGGGGGTAGATGGAAAGATGAAAGAGCAGACAGGAAGAATACGACCCCTCGGAGAGAGAGAGAGAGAGAGAGAGAGAGAGAGAGAGAGAGAGAGAGAAATTTACCAATCACAAAATCCACTTTTTCCTCAATCTCTCTATCAGTCCTCTGCACCGTCATCCAATCACTTCTTTCATCTTTCCTTCCCTCTGCCCTCCTCCTCGCTCTGTCTCTCTGCTGTGCAGTTGCAGGGGGTTAATTGAGGTCTGAACAGCAGGGGGCTATTATGACACCTTTCTAAAGAGGATACACCCCACGCGCACACACACACACACACACACACACACACACACATATCATAACGCAGTAATAAATAATACATGTCGAAGATGCAGGAAATGCACAAGTTTCCTCATTTTCAGTGTTATGTTGAGCAGTAGCTGCATTGTTAGTGTGTTTTAGAGAGAGAGAGCAAGTGTGTGTGTGTGTGTGTGTGTGTGTGTGTGTGTGTGTGTGTGGAGTGATGTTAGCTTTAATGACGGTTTCCACCCCTTGGAAAAGGCTGCCTCACCCCAAATCAGAAACTAACTGAATAAATCACACAATTAATCCAACAAGTCAGCGTGGTGTATCGAAGCACTGCACACACAACGCAGAATGGACTGACAGGTGTGTGTGTGTGCGCGCCTGCCCGCCGTGCACGCACTCACTCTGCATGCTCTGTTAGTAGCAGATGGTAGGCTGGTGGTCTGTTGCCAAATTCGCTGTGTGATCATGTAAATGATCACATGCGCAGCCACATTCAAGTAACACAAACGCCCCTGCAACTACACGGAGACGTAAACAAACACATGGCGGAACGCACACAAATGCAGACTCCTTGTAGGGAGGCAAGCAGATGAGCAGGTTGATCACTGCTCTTTTTTTCTTCTTCAGCTTCTGTCTCGACTCTTTTTAAATTCTCATTGTGAAGTCTTTAATGTGAAACATTGGCGTCGACGGTGCTTGCATGCGCGTGTGTGTGTGTGTGTGCTGCAGTTGAGATGTTGATTGAAGCTGAAGTTTAACAGTGGGAAGCTTTACATCAAAGACTGACATTCACCTTTCATATCCTCTTCTTTTGATGCATGGAAACACACTCGCACACACTTCATGTGAAGAGAGAACCGACAGTTTCACTAAATCAAAAAGTGACATTTGCTTCGAACCTCAGCAGAACCAATGCAGAAAGTCTCGTAGGCGCACGCACACACATACTCACACACGGCGCAGATAAGGGTCTCCTACGGGGGTTTTGGGCCCCTTTTGGCACACATCGACTTCCACAGAGCGCTCCCCATGCTTTGACACAATGAACACAATATATAGAAGAACACACAAACTCTGCCATACACACCCATATGCACACACACACATTTGGCAGCAACAGCATCAGGCAACAGATGCTTCTGAATGAGCTCCTTTGCAGGGCATGATTCATAATGTGGCCATTGAAAATCACTTTCAACACATTCATAACCACTTATAGGTGCCTATGAATATTCACAGCTCGCCACCACACACATGCACTTAATGGGATTCAACCATGAATGTGTACAAAAACACACACGCAGGTGCACACAGCTGAAGCTTTTTCTGTCTTAAATACTTTATACCCTTTTTAAGTTTTCAATGAAGTATTGTTTCACATGATGGATTACAAGCAATTTAAAGCATGCAGATCAGATTTTTACAAATTTCCCCCTCCTAATGTTCTTGGTCTCTGGAGGAAATTGCTTTCCAGGGTGAGACTATGTTCTGATATGATACAAATAACTTTGATAACAGCTTCTTTTTTTTTTTTTTTTTTTTAAATGATAGTATCCTCAAAGGACCCTTGAAAAATCCCCATTTCTCTTTTAACACTTAGAAAAGTCTTTCCAAGTTTTCATCTCCTCTCCTCTGCTTATTGCTCCTCAAGGGATTTAGAGTCGTGCTCTTACAGTGAGTCATTCTCAGGCTTAAGTTTGATGCGATTTCCAAATATCACCCGCTGAATTACAGGAGCTTCTTTGAGCTTTACCTTTATTCTTGTGGCAGCTTCAGAGTTGAGACTGTCTTGAATGAATAAAAATGTCGAGATCCAATGAGGTTTCACTGACAACTTAAACAGCATTTTCCCTGCAGTGTGCATGAACAACAGACACAATCCACTTTGAGATTCTGTAGTGTCTGACACAGAGACTTAGATAGATAGATAGATAGATAGATAGATAGATAGATAGATAGATAGATAGATAGATAGATAGATAGATAGATAGATAGATA